AACGGAAACATTTTTAACTGTAAATTACATATCTTACAAATATAGGAAGAATTTGAGGAATCTAGGCATTGACACTGGTTTAAAAGTCATAGCACAGCTCCAAAGGAAGTTTTTTCTTTATTTGGAATTTTCTTCAGTGTGCAATCAAGGATTGGACAACCAGTCTGAAACCGGAACAGGATCAACACGACCTTGCTTTCAGGATGGCGAAAAAACCTGTCGGAGATGACAGTTGGCCCCCACTTAAAACATGAAGCTAAATGGTATGGAGTTCGTGACAGGTCGGTTGTACAGATAAAACGTTGAACGGTAGAGTCGAAGGGTATGAGCAATGGGGGCTGAATGCCACTGTAACGAAACTGAATTGTGACGTAGTAATTTAGGTCCATTTATGCTAATTGCATAGGTTTCAATAACTTGTCATTTCAGTCGTTCTAAGCACAAGGACACCGAGGCATGATAGTCTTTTTTACAGCGACCTATGTTCAGTCCAACTGCATCAGTCATCTTCATGGCAAACTGTCCTGTCTGGCAGTTTTAATATAGACTTCCATCTCTCTGCTTTTTCTTGAACCATTAAAGTGGCAATTTATTTCAGAATTTATGTGCAGATTTTTTTTCTGTTTGTTTATTTTCAAGTGGTTTCTTTGCGGTTCACTCTGCCTGAGTTCCGTCAGGATCCATGGTTTTTCAGGATGCCCAGTTCGGTTATGACGAAACACTTTCACCTGTTAGCCAAAGTTACACAGGTTGGCAATCACAATTCGATTTTTTTTTTACTTTGCACAATAATTCAGTACTACAAGTTGAACTGTCTGAGATTTAATAATGTAACTATTTTATGCATATTTTTGCGCAGACAGCGGTCATCGACCAATGCAATGGATCTGAATCGCAGGGCGGAATATGGCAGAGGGTAGTTCGCTTAACATGCAGGCCTGTCTTAACCGCTGAAGCACTCACTCACTAATGGGCAAATGGTAATCGTGGATAAAAAGACGTCTATATAACGTTTCATCCAAAAGTGGGCTTTTGAAACAACAATCACATTGAATATACAATTGAAAAAGTACTTATAATCCGGTGACAGGGACAAAGAAAGAAATAGCTTTAGTAAATTACATGAAAGATGAACATATATATATATATGGTTCAATAAGTTGTCATTTGATAGCCGATTTGACCCTTTCAGCTGGGTGTCACTGGCTCGAGGCATTTTCAGATGCGTAACTTGCTCGTACATGGTCCCGTCATAGCGACTAATGCATTTCTGCAGAAAGGAATGCGCGGCATGAACTTCACAGGTGCCACATGCTCAGTTGTGCGCTCGAGATAATTGGCGGTATTCCTAACGGACCTGGCGTTCGTCCATCACATCGTGATGTTCAGCGACTCGGCAAATTGCGTAGTGAACTCATCGAAAGCGTGTGCAACGCAGTCATGAGAATGGGGCTACAAGTTAATACAAAAACACAGATTATGAGAGTACCCGACGCGATCGGTAGTACAAGGATACCATAAAACAGTATCACGAGAAAATCGTGGGCCATTTCAAACTCGTGGGAACTGCGTAACTCCGTGGCTACCAACGGCGACATTGATTTTGAGGTGAACCGGTGAACTGGATTGACGTTCGCGAATTTGGCTAAGCTGTATGACATACGGAACGATCGAATTTAAGAACTGATACAAGGCAGGTTAGCCATCCCGAAAGCAGGTGTACAGTTTTGACGCATTTGTAGTGCTCGAACATCATTAAGCTCATTTAGACAGCTTCTAGCGATGCTACATATGAAGTATCCTCCAAGAGCAGTGGTGCCACCCTCCAAGTCAGCAGCGATCTAAGGAAACTACGAGGCGAATTCAGAGATGAGCATGGGCCTCTGGCTTGGACAAAATGGCTGTAATGGAGAATAAAAATGTTTTTTTGCTGAGAACCGCCTGCCGGCCGTAGGTGCACATTGGAGGACGATGCAAGATACAGAAACACCTCTTTGAGGTAGGCCTGCTGGCGAAAAGAGCTATAGCGATCGCGACAGCAGTGAAAGTTGTCTTACACCGATATGGAATACAATTTCTAAAGGTCGGATATTATGAATAGAGTTTACTCTACTGTTTAAGTTTAAGCTTTGATAGCCTTAGATAACGTTGAAAAGCGACAACAACATATGCCACGATACTGGTAAATCTTGGCCTCGAGGGGAACGGGATGCAGTAAGCCCATTCTGGCCTGCTAAAGTCTCAGCTACTAAATACTTTGCAGAATTGAGCACCGATGATCAATTAACTTTAAGGTTCGTCCGATGTTCTTTTGGACATCAGCTTTCACATTCGTAGCTTGCAACCGATCAGATTAGAGGTTCGAAAAATCTAACCATTTGGCGAATGTCTGTCTTGTGATAATCATTTCCACTCAAGATCGAACCAAGATACTGTAAGGAGGAGACTTTCTCTGCAACTCAATGGAGTCCAACGTAAATCGCCTCGGCGTATGATTTTCGGCCAATTTGAGTACTCGCTTTAGATTTCTTCACGCTGGGGCTGAGTTCACCAGCAAGTGTTTTGTCGCAGAGTTGACCCTCACCAGCAGAGCCATAATTCCTTTTAATACGTGCAGTTTGTATCATATTTGCAGGACATGTTTAAATCAATGGACTGCAGTCTGCTATCAGAATGTTGAAAGCTTCCAGAAGTATTCGGTACCC